AGCGTACTACTTAAAACTAAGCAGACCTAGTTCAGTGCTAAAGACTGTGTGGGACCTTTGCTCTCACATTATGAGGCATTACTGAGTGAAATGAAAGATGAAATTTATTCAAACAAACAATAAATGGAGTAGCTATTAAAAAGTACATTTTTTTAATTTTTCTGGTATTAAAGGTTGTATATACATTAAATAAACCTGGGTATTGAGAATGTGAGTATTCATAAATACCATACTATTTTAATACATCTATAAATCATGAAGAAATGAAGCAAAAAGAATATTCCATAATAAACAATATTTCAGAGAACATGAAAAAGTACCACAACATATAAGTGCCTAGTGCTAATTATCAAGTAAAAATAATTTTAGTGTATTTCATATGACTTGATGTCTAGAGATGGGTCTTTATTCTGACTAAATGATATTTTTCATATATTTAAAACTATAGAATTAAACATTAATATTTTAAATGCTTGAATTTAACTTGCTCTTGAAATTAGTACAACAATGGATATCTGGGGATGTTTCTCAACTGACACACATAATCACTATTTCTGCCCCATACAATATACACTTTGTGAAGATGTTGACTCTTAAGGCTTTGTTCTGGTTCTTTTGGTCTAAATTATACCTAAGTCAATTCAAAAGAGTCCGTAGAGAGATAGCACAGTGATGATGAATGTCAAATCATCATCACTTATAGCTTTAAAACCAGTTTAGCAGTCTCTGGACAAATATAAAAGATGTAAGACATGCATTTACTCTGCTAACTCCTAAAATCTGACTAATAAACCATATAGGAAGGAAAGTAAAAACCTTCAAAAAATAAAGAATAGGAAAAGAGATGACGATAGAAAAAGAGACTTCAACAAAATTTGGAAAACAGTAAGTAGATGGACCAGCAATAACTGATTTAGATTTCAGCTTTCTCTGCTACACTGGGGCTACAAGGGGAGAAACCTAGTAAGACGACAATTAATTCATAATATGCACTGGAAGTAAGGAATTTGAGACAACAGATACCCTCGAGGCAGGGCTGCAGAATGGATGAAAACAGAATGACTGACTGAATGTTTGCATTAGTAGTAATTAGACTTCCCAGATCTTCTGTCTTACCTAATTATATAGTTTAGGTGATGGCCTTTCCCCAACTGTAGCAGAACTCAGAAGAATTAGTGTTAAACCAGAGAAGATTGGGCTTGGGAGTATCAGGCAAATCTAAGGGCAACAATGAAGAGCTAAAAACAAGGGGTGGGGGGGGGAAGAATAGGACTTAGACATGCATTTAAATTAACGCCTGCATACTGAGTGCTGAGTCTCAGAACCTTCTTTCCCAATCAGCTCCCACAACACTGGCTGTCACACTTAATACACCACAGATGAGAAAATGAACAATTCTTCTTTGGAGAAAATGAAAGGTCAAAAACCTGCAGACACTGATATTTACAAGTTCCTCCACGAATGCTGGCAGGTTTCCACTCACCATTCATGAAAAAGCCCACCAATCAATAAGTTCCAGCCACTCGTACAAAATTTCCATTTTTTTCAGTCTTCCTTCTTGAATATAAACAGATACTCAAAAATCAGAAGACACTTGAGAACCTTTTTTTTAACGTTAACAGTGATTAAAGCAAAAAGGGGGGAAGGGGAATCAAACAATGCAAGTTTTAAATTAAACTTAAAGGATATTAATATCTTTAAAAATAAAAAGATATTATATACCCATGACACAAGAATGCCATCAAAATGGAACATAAAAAAAAAAAGTCTTAAAAATTAAAAAATAACAGTTGATACAAAAATTTCAACAGAAAGGTTAAAAACATTAAGAGAAAAATCAAGAATATAGTATAAAATAAATGGGAAAAGGGAGATAAGTTAAAATCATTCAAAGAAATCAAACATCTCACTGAGTTTCTGAAAAAGACAAAAAACAGAATCTTACCAAAAGGCAATATAAAACCTGTGAATAAAAACAGATTGAGCACTTCAGCTTACTTTTGCCTTCTCCCGAATCCATACCAAAATGACGGTAAAGGAATTTGTTTTTAAGTAAATAAATACAATGAATGAAAATAGAGGAAAAGCAATTAAATTTTAAAAGCTAGAAAGCAGGCAGATAAGTGGTAGATGACTAATAGAATAAGGAAGCTCAATTGGAAAGCCCAGATACAATCTGATTTTATTCCAGAACTCCCAGAAAGAATAAGGAACTGGTCAGATACCACATAATTCTCTACATTGGATAAAAGTGTGAATGTTTGTTAGCAGTGATGGGAGGTATTAGGAAAAAGGCACTACTAAAAATAAGTACTTTAAAAAGTAACCAGTTAAAACTCTCCCCACCTCAAAGAAGTCTGATGATTTATGCTTTGGGGAGGATAGAAAAGATGATCCCTAGCCTATCCAGTGATTCAGCAACCTGTCTTACCATGTGCGCCAGTTTTCAATTCAGCCTTTTAGTGCCTCACACTCAAATATGAACAGGCAAATATCACCAGATCTAAGAACAGTCTTTAACATGAAAGACAGCTACCAAACCAAGCAAAATCAACTCAGAGTAAAACAATATTTGGCAGAAAGGAAAACTTCAGAAACTCAGAATCACAAATAGACACAAGATAACGTAATCCAAAAAAATAAAAAAAGGATTCCATAAAGGTGGGGGGGTAGAGAGGAAAAGACAGAAAAAGAGCTCTTAAAAATTAAAAATTATAGCAGAAATTAAAAACGAAAATAACTAAAGGATTGGGAAGGCTGAGAGAATCTCTTTGAAAATTAAAAAGTACAAAAATATAAACATAAACATCTATATGAGAGAAAGATTATGACAGTCTTAGGGAATCAGTCTAGGAGATTTGCTGCCTGAACACTAAGCTTTATAGAAACAGAGAAAATGGAGAAAAGGAAATCACATACAAAGCAATTTAATAAAATTTCCGGAAGTCAAGACCGTAAATATCCAGACTGGCGAAGTCCCAGCATAATGGATGAAAACATATCCTTGACAAGGCATATCACAATAAATATTAACACACTAGGTGACTTAAGATGGGAAAGATTCAACAAAGGAAAAATATAGGACATGCAAAAAGAATCAGAAATTAGAATGGCAAGTGGAATTCTTAACGAGCAAGAATGGAACTTCAAAATAAGATAATGCCTTCAAAGTTTTTAAGAGAATGATTTTAAAACTGTAATTACATTCTCAAAGGGTTAATCAATCAGGTAGATAAAAAATACTTTCAGGTCACAAAAACCGCAAGGTAACAAAAAAAATATACTTCCCATGCAATGTTTCTGAAGATAATACTGGGGATAATGTTCCACCAAAATGAGAAAGTAAACCAAGTAAGAGGCAGACATTCAATGCAAGAATCAAGAGTGCCAATTCAAGAAATGCAAAAAGAATACTTGAGAAGTGACTGGTTCTTCCAGGGAGATAGCTATGCATCAGTTGGGAAGGTTAACCAATTCAGACTAGGGTTCCAGAGAACTGTCTCCAAGATGATGAAATTGACATACTACTTGATGCTTCTGAACATTCTGAGAGATTTATACACTCAAAAGACTTGGAGGCTGAATAAAATGGACAAAGAAAACAATGCAAATAAAAAACTAAGACAAGTTTTCATCTGTAAATAGTGTTTACATAGTCATAGCATAAACACTGAAAATTCTTTAAAATGACATTACTATACTTGGAAGATGAGCTGAATAAAATGATCAGTGGTTGGTGACAACCTGGGCAGATGTGCTATGTATGGCCTCATTTCCACAGTGAAATGACAATAGTTAAAGCCTAAAACTGAAATTCAACAGTGGTCTTGTATACATATGGAAATATAGATGTAAACATTATACAGAAAGGAGCTGGGGGAAGTTGCCTCAGGAGAGGTAATAGAGAAAAGAATATTTAATTTTAATAAAAATAAGAAGAAAAAATATTGCCCATTAGTACAGAAAATGAATTTCTAGATTTAAAAGTTAAACCTAGAACTTAACACAATTAATGATGAAACTTCAGAATACCAAAAGGATAAAGAGAAAAAGCTTCTACATAGAGGGTGTGTATAAGGAGGCGGGGGCAGTGGGAAGGGCGGCATATGTCAAGAGAAAGAGGGCATCCAATTTTTCAAGAGTTTTCAAATCCCTGAGGAAAAATTATTTTTTTCTTACAATTTGTGCCTAGCCAAACTATCCAGTGAGTATGGGGGGAAATAAAGATAATTTCAGGCATGCAAGATTTCAAGAAAATAGTACTGCTCTAAGGACACCATAGAAGAATGCATTCTGATAAAAGAAGACAAAACCAAGGAAGGAGATGATGTGATCCAAAAAGAGGCACAGAGAATTCATAGGAAGACAGTGAAGAAAATCCCAGGGTTGATAGCTATGTAGGAAGTTTAGAGAACTGAGGGCTCTAGGAGGATATTTTCATGGGGGGAAAAAAAATAGAAATGATATATCTGAACTACTGAGGTTTAGAAATCTGTAGAAGAGCTTAGCTTCTAAAACCCAAGAATAAAAAATTGTTCAAGGAAGGTAAAAGGACATTATAAATCTTAGCTATAAATATTTTCATAGGCACAACTAAAACCAACTTACTTTTTTAATAAAAAAAAAAGTTGTCTCCTTACTTTTCTGAAAGAATAGAAGGGGAGAAAAAGGAAGAAAGGTGACTAATATACACAATTAAAGAAATACCATTATTACATGAAATTTAAACATATGGAAGAAAATCCTAAAAGAGGTAAAAGTGGCTCCTGTGACATGAGACTTGGAAAAGGCAAAGCAGGGAATTGGCATCTTTCTCTGTATTTCAGTTTTTAAACTATTTACCTCTACTTTGAAATTTTTTTTCAATTAAATAAAGAGGATTTCAACAAAGAAAAATTCTCTAATGATCTAAAATCTTTTAAAAATCACAAATGAGAGCTAATGGTGTTAGCTGAAAAAACAAAATCATAAAATAATGTTAATGATGTTTTGAAGGATACATTGCAAAAGACAAAACAAGCAGGCACCAGACTAAGCTGATATTCATTTCCTGTGTGGGCTTCATCAAATTGTAGTAGACTTCAGTTACTAGATACACAACTGTAGCAGCCACTGTAAAATCCACCAGCCACTGGTATTCTGGAAAGTAATGCAATGCTGAAAAAGAAAGGTTAAAATAAAAAAAAGGTTTTACTTTCAAAAACAGCTAAGAAAGGTTTATCTATAATTAACTCTAAACATGCTAGACTTTATTTTATTTGGTGATCTGCAACATAAGAATTACAAATATGAGAATCTAAAAATGCAGGAAATAGATCAAGAATGTTGGCATCCAAAACTAAATTTTAATACCCCTTAAATAATTAAAATAAACCTGAAATGATTACCAAAAATTATTTAAACTGTTCTTAAAAATATGATTGCAAAATGAGTTGGTATTTTCTTAGCTGATTAGCTATTTTTAATGAAAATTATAAATCAAGTTTTTAAGAATCTGAGCTTTGATACTTTAGAATACAACTTATGATAGACTACTACAGACTTACTCATATTCATTTCTGTGAAGAAGCTAAACTTTATGTTACAGTTATAAACTACACTACTGGAGGGTTAGTAATTTTGAGTTACTGCAGATTAAAATAATAAATAAGTATACATTTTATTCCTTCTTCTGGTCCTGTAAGAAAAGCTGATGAAATGTTTGTCAATTTTTCTATAAAACCACACCTTTTCAACAAATTATTTCATCCTTAAAGGGTTTACATTAAAATTAGTATTCTCTGAAAATAAATATGATTCCATCTCCCTTTTCATCTCAGATATTCTAGTTTACTTCTGCCAGAATGTAGTCCAAAATATTAACATCATTTTGTAGAAGGCCTCCTAAAAATGTGGAAATAAATCAAGTACATAAACATCAATTTCTACGTTCTCTCTGGCATATAATAAAAAGATCTATGTTGCTTTGGAAAAATTTTAGTTGTAAAATGTAATACCTGAGTACACTTTAAAGCCACGCATTTTTAGAAAAAGTATTTTTAAAATACCACTCAAAGAAAGACATTTAAAATATCAAAACAAACTAACCAAACTTAATCTCTATGAGGTAATAGCAAAAATTCTAAATCCTTTTGTGATTGGTTAAATTTATTTGCTTCAAGTTAATTTAACATTCTTAATTTGTTTCAAGTTATTTAACTTTTTGGTAATTGACCTAATAGCTTCTGAACATCAGTATGAAAAATTTACCCTAAAGTGGTTGCAGGATTCCCACCCTTCAGTTACCTCTCTTCTCCTCTAAAATTCTCCATGCCTGCCCATACTCACACAAGCTTCTTCTAGGGAACTTAATAGCAAACAGCAAAGAGACATTCAAATGTTATGTTAAGAGGTTCTTAAAATAGTTAATACAAACTGAGATATCATTTTAAGATATTCAGATATCAATAATATATGCATTCAAATTATGCATGTTCAATCCAAGTATTATATTATTCTTTTTGTATTCAATAATATAATTATGTATCTTCCTTTTTGTATTCAATAATATAATTATGTATCTTCCTTTTCACAGACTATTAGAATCAAAAGAAAAGTTAAGAGTTTACCAAGCCCAGTAGTTCAGGCAGAAAACTCTACTTTGACTTAAACGCATACACAACAGGCATTCACAAATAAATACGTCATTATAAAATTAATAAAACAGCTTTCTGTTATTCTGATGAACTGAAATGCTCTTGATGTTATGTGGCCAGTTGTTAAACCAGTATCATTTGCAATTAGTTCTCAAAATTATACAATTGAAACAAAACATGGAATAAACTTTGTGCTGAAGCCAGATTACCCCAAATTTCAAGTTTTTAAATTCAATAAAATAGCCTAGTTCTCATTGACTATTGCTAACTCATTCGTTGTATAACCCTGGTCAAGTTATTTAACTCCTCTATCTAATGAGTTTTAAAAAAAACCCTAAAAACTTGATAATAGTTATATATCTTATAGAATTGTGAGGATGAGTTAACACAAGTAAAGCACTTATAACACTATCTGATACATATGGAATTTTAAGTTCTTATTAAAGTTGATTAGATGAAAACTATTCAATAAACATTAGTAAAAAATCTACTAGCAATCATGGGAAATGTACATATATTCTTTGTTTTATAGATGTCTGTGAACATTTTATTCAAGTTAAGCACATATAGGATAGTAAAACGAATGTAACAACTAATCAAAAAGTGCTTTTAAATGTTTTAAATTTTGCATGAAAAAGTAAAAAAGAAAAACATTTGAAATAATCAGTCTTAATAGTCTTAATGATATCAGACAATTGACTTAAATTGTCTGATATCATTAAAAAGAATGTATATTTTGCTGCTTTGGGGTTGACCCTATTTCAGTTAAATCACACCATCCAGAAAAACCTTACTAGAGTCATCTAGCATCTCATATATATTACTTTGTGATTCATAGTGGCTTCAGTATACTTGAAAGTTGATTCTACATCTACAAATATTTTATGTGTATATATGGAAAGGGTGTCCTAGAACCTTAAAAAGAAACAAGAAAAAGCTCAAATAAACAATCTAATCTTATAATTAAAAGAACTAGAAAAAGAACGGCAAACAAAGCCCAAAATGAATAAAAGAAAAGAATAAAGATCAGAGTGGAAATAAATCAAAGAGTCTAGAAAAACAATACAAAAGATTAATGAAATTAAGAGCTGGTTCTTTGAAAGGATAAACAAAATTGACAGATCCTTAGCCAGACTCATCAAGGAAAAAAGAGAGAGGACTCAAATAAATAAAATCAGAAATGAAAGAAGAGAAATAACCATAGACTCCATAGAAATACAATAGATCATAAGAAAATACTACGCCAACAAATTGGACAACCCAGAAGAAATGGACACATTCCTAGAAACATATAATCTCCCAAGACTGATTCAAGAAGAAACAAAAATCTGAACCGACCGATTATCACCAAAAAATAGAATCAGTAATCAGAAACCTCCCAAAAAACAAAAGTACTGGACCAGTTGGCTGCATAGGCGAATTTTACCAAACTTTCAAAGAATTATCACCTATTCTTCTCAAACTATTCCAAAAAATTCAAGAAGAGGGAAGGCTCCCTAATTCCTTTTATGAGGCCACCATTACCTTGATTCCAAAACCAGGCGAAAACATTACAAAATAACAAAAATATAGGCCGATATCTATGAACATCAATGCAAAAATCCTCAACAAAATATTAGCAAACCGAATTCAGCAATACATTAAAAATATCGTACACCATGATCAAGTTGGATTTATTCCTGGGATGCAAGGTTGGTTCAATATCCACAAATCAATTAATGTGATACACCACATTAACAAATCAAAATATAAAAACCATATGATCATATCAAGAGATGCAGAAAAAGCGTTTGACAAAATCCAGCATCCATTTATGATAAAAACTCTCAGCAAAGTGGGAATAGAGGGAACATACCTCAACATAATAAAGGTCATATATGACAAACCTACAGCTAATATCCTACTCAATGTGGAAAAGCTAAAAGCATTTTCCTTAAGATTAGATACAAGACAAGGATGCCCACTTTCACCACTCCTCTTCAACATTGTATTGGAAGTCTTAGCCACAGCAATAAGACAAGAAAGAGAAATAAAAGGCATCCGAACTGAAAAGGTAGAATTAAAATTCTCGTTATTTGCCGATGACATGATACTATATGTAAGAGTACCCTAAAGTTCCCCGCAAAAAACTGTTAGAACTGATCAATGAATTCAGTAAAGTAGCAGAATACTAAATAAATATTCAGAAGTCAGTGGTATTTTCATATACCAATGATGAACTTTCAGAAAGAGAAATTGAGAAAACAATCCCATTTATAATTGCGTTGAAAACTATAAAATACCTGGGAATCAAATTAACCAAGAAGGTAGAAGACCTGTTTTCAGAAAATTATAAGTCATTGAAAAAAGAAATTGAAGAAGATACAAATAAATGGAAGCATATACCTGTTCATGGGTAGGAAGAATCAACATTTTTAAAATGGCCATACTTGCCAAAACAATCTATAGATGCAATGCAATCCCTATCAAAATACCAATGGCATTTTTCGGAGAGCTAGAACAAATAATCCTAAAATTTATATGAAGCCATAAAAATCCCCAAATAGCCATGGCAATCTTGAGAAAGAAGAACAAAGTTGGAGGCATCACACAATCTGATATCAAACAATACTACAAGGCTACAGTAATCAAAACAGCATGGTACTGGCATAAAA